GCCACAACCCCAACTAGCGTACCACTCACGAAACTGCTGGGGCGGGAGAGACTCGCGTGGACGTCGCTGGAGCTGCATCTGGCCACCGCCAGTAGCAGCAGTAGTAGTAGCAGTAGCCTAGCAGTAGTAACAGAAGTAGCAGCAGTAGCAGCGCGGGCAGGGCAGGCGCGGCAGGCAGGCAGGCAGACAGGCAGGCAGGCAGGCAGGCAGATGGCGCGGCAGCGCGCTAACAAGGCAGGTGCTCACCAGTGGCGGGAAGAGCAGGCGCTCGCCGGGCGAGCAGGGCCGGCGCTCGGCGGGCGGCTGCATGGGGTCCAGGGGCGGTGACGCAGGTCCAGGGGCGGCGTCGCGGGGTCCAGGGGCGGCTGCACGGAGTCCAGGGGCGGCTGCTTCAGGGGCCAGGGGCGGTTGCTCTGGGTCCAGGGGCGGCTGCTCCAGGGGCGGCGTAGCTGGTGCAGGGCTGGCGCGGGCTGTACGAGCTGCGTGCGGGCCTGGCGCGGGCTGTACGAGCTGCGTGCGGGCCTGGCGCGGGCTGTACGGGCTGCGTGCGGGCCTGACGTGGGCTGTACGGGCTGCGCGACGGCCTGGCGCGGGCTGTACGGGCTTCGCGACGGGCCTACGCGGGCTGTACGGGCTTCGCGACGGGCCTACGCGGGCTGTACTGGCTGCGCGCGGGCCTGGCGTGGGCTGTACGGGCTGCGCGACGGCTTGGCGCGGGCTGTACGGGCTGTGCTCGGGCCTACGCGGATTGTACGGGCTGCGCACGGCAGAAAAGGGCAGGGCAGCGCGAAACGCTGGGCAGGGCAGAAACTAACGGTCGGGCAGGTGAAAACGAATGTGGTGGGCCCTTAATTACGGTCCTAGGCTAGGACCGTCCTAGCTCTTAATACCATGTTAGAATACTAGGAAGGAATGTGTGATTGGGTCAAGGGAGGGGTACAAGAAGAATGTCGAGAGAAATGTTGTACCCCCTAGTGCTAACCCCCATACAGCCTAGATAACCTAAACATGCATATATGATTTGACACGCACCTGTGCAGAGACTGCAGCAGGCATGGTTCATTCGCCAGTACCAATGACCGATCATGCTCGCCACCCTCCCACGCTCTTGTTAGCTTGGTAATAGGTCCAAACGCACACACTTCCCAGTTGTACTCCTGCTTTGCTCTTGGTATTCCCACTCTTGCTTGTCTTCCTCATATAGACTTGTCCTGTTTTCTTCGCTCACGCCTTCTGCAAGCCTTGCTCCCTTTCTGAACCTCTTCGTTCGATACCCTTCATTGACAAACCCGCGACGCGTTCCCTTTGTCACCTCTCATTCTTTCCCCGGCCCAAATCTCTTCCGGCTACGCTGCTCTACCAGATTTTCTTGCTACACTTATCACTGAATGATACGTGTGACAAATTTTCATATGTTCTTTCGTCCAAGGAAAACATACGGCAACAATAATGTGTGTGGTGTTCATTTTAAAAAGATCATGGTCTACTTTTCAGGCTTGCTCATTAGAATATGTTTTTGCCGCTTACAGGCGATGCTTTTGGGGCGTATACACCGAATTTTTGCCTGCTTGCGCTTCACATCGCACACGCTGCATGCTCTGATTCCGTTTACCATTCCACTCGTCCTCTGCACTTGTTTCCTAACTTCGCCATCATTAACGTATCAGCGTCCTCTTTATAATTTCCGCGCCAACAGTACTCCCTTCGCGCTTAGGCGGTTAATCCTCCGCATGGAGCCCGTTCCCGCAGACGTTCTTGCTGCGCCCGCCAGCGGCGGGGAGGGCGGCGGAGATCTCGAGGCGGAGTTGGCGGAGATCGGCGCGCAGCTGGAGGCGGTGGCGGCTGTGCGCGACGACCTGCGCGCGGCGGTGCAGCGGATGGACGGGCTGACGCGGCAACTGCAGTCGGACCTGCTGGGCGTGCATCGGCGGCAGGAAGGCGCAGGTGCGTGGGGGGGACGGAGAGACCATGAGGAAGAGACGAGCGGGCGGTGCGAGCATGGGCGCGCCTGATGCAGCAGCTACAGTCGCGGATCTTTTAGTCGATTCCGGGATAGTGGCGTTCTGTCGCAGTGAAACGTTGGAGGTAGTGTGAGAATTTCGTACCACATCTGTACCCATCCAGCATCCTCCCCTCCTTCCCTCTGAACCGTTATCACCCTTCTCTTCCCCACACTCTCCCCCCAACCCCACCCACCCCGGCCCCCTCCCGGCCCCCATCTCCCGCAGTGCAGCAGGAGGTGCAGAAGGCGCAAATGAGATTCTTGAGTGTGTTTATAAGATTGCGTCCTTCCCTCCTTCTGAACCACTGTCACGCTTCTTCTCCGCAATCCCCGTTTCCTCCCCCCCTCCCCTCCCCCCCCTCCCCTCCCTCCGCAGTGCAGCAGGCGGTGCAGAAGGCGCGGGAGAGCGTGCCAAAGCTGCAGGCGGCGTATGCTGAGCTGGCAGCAATCATTGCTCGCCGCCCGGGCGAGTTCTACAGGTGCGAGTGCTGCCAGACCCTGCCACGTGTCCCTCAAGCAAGCAAAGGTCAATTGCAAAGTTACCTTAGTCATCTACTGATTTACATGCGTGTGCCATGTGGATGCGATTCTCTTGTGAACACACATGGCTGGTACTGTCTAGGACTTGCATTCCTGACTCTGTACATCCCCTTTCTATGGCTTATACCGAGTATGAACTGCAGATTCGCTCCCTCTTGCTGAATGTTTTCTCGCAACCAACAGGTTCAGCGACCACTGGCGCAGTCAGAACCACACGGTGGTGTCCCAGCTGGCGTTCGCTCATTGGCTGGACTCCGGAACGCTTCTCTCGCACAAGCAACTAGAGGAGCAGCTACAGTGTAGGCCACTGTAGAATCTGTTTCGATACTGTATAAGCTACTGTAGACTCTGTTTGAGATTTCTGGTATCGGGCTTCTGAGTGAGGGCAGTTGTTAGAGATCCTTTTTTCTCTCAAAGGCCCTCCCCGTACACTCAGTGTCTCAAAGATCTGGCTCCCCACCACTATCCTCCCGTCCCCCTCCCTCTCCCACCCCACCCGTGGTGCGTGTCTCGCAGTGCGGGCATCACTTCGTTCAGCATCGATCTACAGGACCACCTCACCAGCCTCCGTTGAGTTGACTCATAAGTCCTCCCCTCCCACTCCCCTCTGGCCCCCGTGGTGCATGTCTCTCGCAGTGCGGCCATCATCATTCAGCATCGACCTAGAGGGCAATCTCACCAACCTCCGTGTCTTGAGTCGACCCAAAAGTTCTCCTTTCCACCCCCCCCTCCTGCATGTCCGCAGTGCCCGCATCATCATTCAGCATAGATCTAGAGGACTATCTCACCGGCCTCTGCGGTCTCTCCAATGAATTCGTGAGCTCCTCCCTCCTCCACCCTGCTCTACCCTCCCACATCCCCCCATGCTCCCCGTCCCACCCCCGTGCGCTCTACTGCCCTCATTGCTGCTCGTTGCGTTGTCTCCGTCCCTTGTTCATTGCATGTTCCCTGTATTCCTCAGAGGCTGCGTTGTCTCCATCCCTTGGTCACCTCTTCGCAGCTTCTGTGCCTGAACCATAACGTCGCCTTCCCCTTCTCTCTCTCCCCTTCTTCCAGCCTCGCTTCGTGATGAACAGGGTAACAGCGGGCGACTATGCATGCACTCCTTAAGTGGCGATTTTTGAGAGTTCTCAAAAGTGGCGACTGAGCGTGCCCTCAAGTGGAGACTAAGCGTGCCCCTTAAGTGGCGACTAAGCGTGCCCTTAAGTGGCGACTAAGCGTGCCCTTGAGTGGCGACTAAGTGTGTCCTTGAGTGGCAGCTGCATTCCTCAGTGGCCTCATTGCCGCCATGCATCCACCTGTTCCCCCACTGCCCCTGCCTCTCTCACCCACTGCCTCTCTCTCTCTCCCCCCTCATCTCAGCCGCGCTTTGTGATGAACAGGGTGACAGCGGGCGATTACGCTGTCCCCCGAGTGGCGGCCGCCTTTCTTAACGACCTCTTCGCTGCGTTCCGCAAGCTCAACCTGCGCAACGACATGCTCCGCAAGCGATTCGACGGTGCGTGGTTAGATGGGCCGATGTTAGATATGATCTGGTGGGGTGGGTACACGTGTGACTAGCTCTTCCATGCCTTTGCCAAGCTCTCAACCTTGGCACGAAGGTGCAGGAGGGGATGATACACCACGATAAGGCCAGGGGGGCTTACCAGGAGTGCATCTGTCTAAGTCTTTCTAATTCGCTGTCTCTTTCTGTGTGCCCCCTGTCCCTCCATGTCTTACACATGCCTCCCGCTGTGGCATGACCTGCAGGCATCAAGTACGACCGGAAGAAGGTGGAGGGGGTGGTGTATGAAGTGGAAATACGAGGGCTGGTGGTGCTGGGAAGGCATGTGTTCCTTATGTCACTCTCTGTTCTCTCTCCGCGTGCCCTGCAGGCATCATTTACGACCTGAAGAAGGTGGAGGAGGTGGTATATGACGACGTGGCAAGACAGTGGTGGTGAATGTATCCTTTATGTGCCTCAAATCGCCTGTATTTCACTCACTGTGCCCTTTCCGTTACCTGCAGGCATCAAGTACGACCTGAAGAAGGTGGAGGAGGTGGTATATGACGTGGAGATACGAGGGCTGGCGAAAACAGCAGCAGAGCCCATGCAAGACGCATAGCGACGCTGAGAGGACAAGGCTCTTGTGCCTCCATTGATTCAGCAAAATATCAGATGCACTTTAAAAACAGTGTACATAGAGCAGTCAATAAAGGCGTAGGAGCTTGTGGAGCAATGACATCCCATCCCACTCACTCACTTCTACCACGTCTCCTACCCCATCTGCCTATTTGCTGAAAGAGCTCCCAACCGCTCGGCACCTTCCACGCTGCTGCAGCTTCCCCCAGCTCATCCTCCCCCACCTACATGCCAGCCTGTACAATCTACACACAAGACAAGCCCACCAGGTGCATACACCCGTGACCCTCATACAAGTGGGTTGCAATAAGCAGATAATCAGGCGCAGCAGCAGCTCTACTGCCTGTATTGGCATGCAGAGAACGCTGTCAAATGGCACCCCAGTGCTTGCAAGAGCAGCCCTGCCGAACCTCGCACAGGGCAGCCAGGCAGGCTCGAGTCAGTCTCGTCACCACCCAAACCCTCCAGATCCAAATACCGCAGCTTCGGCAGCTGCCTGGGTGCAAAGTCCAGGTGGTCTTCCAGGTTGCCCAAGGAATGCAGGGTGAGGGTGTGAAGGGCAGGGAAGGAGAAGTTTTCTGGGAGGGAGGAGATGAGCGGGCAGTTGATAACATCTAATACTGCGAGGGACACTAGGCCTGGGTGTTGTTCGGTGTTAGAATCATAGACAGGGATAGATAGATAGGCAGGGGCAGAGAAAGAGGGAGAGGCAAAGGAAGAGGCAGAGGCAGAGGGAGAGGCAAAGGAAGAGGCAGAGGCAAAGGCAGGGGCAGGGGCTGAGGCAGAGGCAGCTGTATGTAGGAACAGGAACACCAGCAACGCAGCAGCAAGCAGCATGGCAGGATAGAGCCACGCAGTGGGCACCAGAGAGATCAGCAGCAGCAGCACCACAACAAGAAGCAGCGATGCAACGAAGGTGATGGCACTGCCGCTTCTAGCGCCAGCGAAAGCGAGCACGGCAGCAGGGACAAGCAGCACAGGAGGTCTGATGCCATTTGCGGTGGAGAGCGGTGCTATGAGCTCTTGCACGGTGAGCAGCGGCAGGGAGATGAGCAGCATGGCAGCAAAGACAGCAGCAGTGCATAGTGCGGCAGTGATTGCCTTTTCTGCCAGACTGTACGATTCCGTCTCACTTGAACTTCCCACCTTTTCATACAATTCAAGGGGAGTTGGAGGGGTCAGCGGTTTCAGAGACTTTACATGGGAGCATGACTCGATATGGAGTGATTGTAAACGAGTCAGCTTGTACAGTGAGTGGGGGAGCTCCCTTAGCTGCTCGCAGTTGCACAGGCTCAGCTTTCCCAGGCACGCTTGCAGGCTGCTTTCACACAATCCCTCGGGCATATGCTTCAGCGCGGGCAGGTTCACCTCGAGCGTTTTCAACCGGGGTAAATTACCCATGCTTTCGGGCAGAGCCCGGATATTATCCAGGTAGAGGAGCTTTAGGGTTTGCAGATGGGACAAGGCGCCGATGTGGTGTGGGAGTGAGGTGAGGGAGGAGCAGGAGGAGATGGAGAGGGAGGAGAGAGGGAGGAAGCAGATGCTCTCTGGGAGAATCTCAAGGGCATTGCAGGCGTGAAGGGAGAGATGTTGCAGTTGAGTCAGCCCCGCCATAACATTTTCGGGCAGGCATTCTAGATTCTCTGATTGGAGAAAAAGGGTTTTCAACCCGGTCAGCAGTTGGAATGACTCCGGAATGCACTCGAGCCCGTCCAGTTCGATTTCTAGGGTTTCCAGCCGAGCCAAATCGCCAATCGCGTTGGGAAGCTTCGTGACGGTTCTGGAGAAGCCCTGGAAACTCGTTCCCGCGCGGATCCGCAGTTCCCGCAGCTGCTGCAGCGCGCCGATGCTCTCGGGCGGCGAAACGAGCTCCTGTAACGAGTCATCGCCATAGAGAGGATGAGCGCACACGTGGAGGGTTTGGAGGTCCGTGAGGAGCGAGAGGGACGGCGGGAGATGCGGAAGGCAGAAGGTGGTGAGCAGCCGAAATTCCCTGAGTTTGCGGCATCCATGGAAGAGCAACGCGAGCCCGTCTACTGTAACCGCCATGCGAAACTGATGCTCCACCGTTAGATGGCTCAGGAGCGGACACGTGGCGGCCAGACATTGGAAGAGCGCGTCGCCGTCGGCGGATACGATGGAAAAAACGCTCAGCGACACGTGCGTGAGGTTGGGGAAGCGGCGCATCGCGGAAAGAAGGCGCGGGAGCGGGAGCCACGCGAGCTGCGCGTTGCGGAAGTGCTCAGAAGTTTGCATCTCAATAAAGGTTAAATAATCTGGTTTAGGTCCGCGATGCTGAATGGTCAAGTGGGAGAGCGCGGACGTGGCGAGGCGGAGCCAGCGCTTGGAAACGAGCGCGTGGCGGAAGGAGGTCTGCGCGAGCGCGCGGAGGACGAGCGCGAGAACGTCGTCGGGGAGGCGCTCCACGGGGAAGGGCGGGTCGGCGCGCGCGGGTGAAACCATGGCATTCAAGCGGCTAGAGAAAGGGACAAACGCCATCGCTTGGACGCTAGAGACGTCGCTAATTAGGCGAACGGGGGAAAACGGTAAAGCGGGGACAGATCTGCTGCCCTGAGTGTGGCGGCTTGACTAATAAAAAGTGGGCAAAGATCATATAAGGGCCCCAAAACAGCAGGGAAGTGGCCGATGTAGGGCCGGGTGAGTCGCGCCCCGTCGAAGCAGTGCCGAACCAGCGCCGCAACTAGCCCAACATTGTTTTAACCTAAACACCCAGCAAGATGACGAAAGTAAGTTTAGAAATTGGTCAACCCTAAACACCTTGTCGCAAAGTGTTTAGGGTTGATTTCTCCCTAAAAGCATGCCATCCAATAGGGGTTTATATTTGTTATGGTTCGGAAAATATAATTTAGGCTCGTACGCAGGTTCGGACCTTCGTACTAGGGGTGCGACTCACACGGCCCTAATTCGGCCACTTCTCTGCTAATGTTCGGCCCCTCGATGATCTCTTCCCATAAAAAGTCTACGCAACCACCACTGCGTTACTAAGACAGCCTGGTTGGGGAAAAGTGCGGGAAAAGTGCGGATGGGACGAGAGCAGGTTGGTTTGGGCAACGGCAGAGATGGATGCATCAGGAATTTTGGGGTCAGGTTCGTTATGGGCTCGGCGCGCAGCACCATGACGTGCTATGGTTGGGTGGGGGCGGAAATTTGATGACGGGGCAGTCAGGGGACGTCAACAGGGTGGGGGAATCGAGTCACGAAACACGAGGACAAAAATTGACTTGAGTCAACCCCGTCCGTCAATGTCTCAAAGGGAATCCGTTTGAGCTGTCGTCATGAGAGATGCAATGAGTGTACACTGTCACATTCATTGTAAGTTTTAATTACTCGTGGACCATTTGCTAGCATAGGCCAACCCATTTATCATGATCAATTATGGCAGAAGGGTTTTTTTATCTAACATCTCTTACACCATCTGTGCACTATCCTGGACATCATACAACTATCTCAAGTCACGACTCACAACAATCGGGTTGTTTCCTTCCACCTCCCCAACAGACCACCGGCACGCTAGCCTGCACGATCGGCATGCAAGACCAGCCAACCAACTGCAAGCACCCTGCAGCCCTGAACAACCCGCCCTCATCAGCAGCACAGCCAGCTGCAGCAATGAATCCACCACGTGCAGAAGCACAAACAGAGCTCTGACATGCAGCAGAAGCCACGTTCTCCCCGACCGCACACCGGGAAGGCAGTCAAGCAGCCATGGGTCAGCCTCACCACCCACCCCCTCCAACTCCAGCCGCTGCAGTTGGGGCAGCTGCCTGCTGGTTAAGTCCAGGAGATCTTCCCGATTGCCCAGAGAATGCAGGGTGAGCGTGTGCAGGGCAGGGAAGGAGAAGTTTTTTGGGAGGGAGGCGATAAGCGGGCAGTCTGAAACCTTTAATTCGGTGAGGGAAAATAAGCCCGGGTGTTGTTCCATGCTATTTGCTGCAGAAACAACAGCACAGATAGGTACGCTATGCGTGGCAGGGGCAGAGGCAGGGGCAGGGACAGGGGCAGGGACAGGGGCAGGGGCAGGGGCAGGGGCAGGGCAGGGCAGGGGCAGGGGCAGGGGTAGGGGCAGGGGCAGGGGCAGGGGTAGGGGCAGGGGCAGGGGCAGGGGCAGGGGCAGGGGCAGGGGCAGGGGCAGGAGCAGGCGCAGTGGCAGGAGCAGAAGCAGTGGCAGAGTCAGGAGCAGAAGCAGGGCCAGAGGCAGAGGCAGAGGTAGAAGCAACGGGTTGTAGGAACAGGATCACCAGCAGCAGCGCAGCAGCAAGCAGCATGGCAGGATAGAGCCACGCACTGGGCAGCAGAGAGATCAGCAGCACCACAACAAGAAGCAGCGACACAGCGGCGGCGACAGGACTGCCACTTTCAGCGCCAGCAGAAGCGTGTGTGGCAGCAGAGGACGGTTCTAGCAGCTCTCGCACCGTGAGCAGTGGCAGGGAGATCACTTCCATCACGGAAAGGAGTGCACCAACAATCGCCTTTTCGGCCATGCTGAACAATTCCATTGCAATCCCGGACCGTTCAGGGAAGCCTGGAGGGGTCAGCGGCTTCAGGGACTCTATATTGGAGCATGACTCGATATGGAGGGACTCTAAACGAGTCAGCATGTATAGTGAGGGAGGAAGCTCCATCAGTTGATTACAGTTCGCCAGGCTCAGATTTTCCAGGCACGAAGAAAGGCTGCCTTCACACAATCTCTCAGGCAGATGCTCCAGCGCGGGCAGGTCCAGCTCGAGCGTTTTTAACTGGGGGAAATTACCCACGCTTTGGGGCGGAACCCGGAAATTATCAAGGGAGAGGAGCTTTAAGGTTTGCAGTTGGGACAAGGCGTCGATGTGGTGTGGGAGTGAGGTGAGGGAGGGGCAGGAGGAGACGGAGAGGGAGGAGAGGGGGAGGAAGCAGATGCTCTCTGGGAGAATCCCGAGGGAATCGCAGGCGTGGAGGGAGAGAGACTGCAGCTGAGTCAGCCCCGCTATAACATGTTCGGGTATGCGCTGCAGACGGTTGGATTGGAGAGAGAGGGTTTTCAGCCCGGTCAGCAGTTGGAGGGATTCCGGAAGGCACTCGAGCCCGTCCAGCTCGACTTCCAGGCTTTCCAGCCGATCCAAATCGCCTATCGCGTCGGGAAGCTTCGTGACGGTTCTTGAGAGATGAGTAGTACCGATGCTCAGCTTCCGAAGGTTAGTGAGGCGACCCACGCACTCCCCCAGACCCTGGAAACTCGATCCCGCGCGGATCCGCAGCTCCCGCAGCTGCTGCAGCGCGCCGATGCTCTCGGGCGGCGAAACGAGCTCCTGAAGCGAGTCATCGCCATAGAGAGGATGAGCGCACACGTGGAGGGTTTGGAGATCTGTGAGGAGCGAGAGGGACGGCGGGAGATGCGGGAGGCCGTCGGTGGTGAGCAGGCGGAGTTCCCTGAGCTTGCGGCATCCACGGAAGAGTGACGCGAGGCCGTTCACCGTAACCGCCATGCGAATCTGATGCTCCACTGTTAAATGGCTCAGGAACGGACACGTGGCGGCCAGGCATTGGAAGAGCGCGTCGCCGTCGGCGGATACGATCGAGAACTCGCCCAGCGACACGTGCGTGAGGGTGGGAAAGCGTCGCAGCGCGGAAAGAAGGCGCGGGAGCGGGAGCCAGGCAAGCTGCGCGTTGCGGAAGTGGTCAGAATCTTGTATTTCTTGCATCGATAGATTCCGATGCCGAATGGTCAAGTGGGAGAGCGCAGACGTGGCGAGGCGGTACCAGCGCTTAGAAACGAGCGCGTGGCGGAAGGAGGTTCGCGCGAGCGAGCGGAAGACGAGCGCGAGAACGTCGTCGGGGAGGCGCTCCACGGGGAAGGGCGGATCGGCGCGCGCGGGTGAAACCATGATGGCATTCATGCGGCTACTAGCCGTAGTAAGGAAACTTACTAGTAACGCCATCTAATCAGGAGAACGGCGAACGGGGGGAAAGGGTAAAGCGCGGATAGATCTGCTGCCGCCCTGGAGTATGGCGGGATTGTCTGTTCAGAAATATACGCTAGCACCACTGCATTCCAATACAACACCATCAGGGATTGCGAGAGTCTTTGTCTCCTATCTCTGGGGTCTGTGTGTTTGTGGTTTGTAGCTTGGTGGATGCGGAGGGCTGTTTGTGGTTTCAGGCATGCTGGTGACCGCTCTTAAACGCACTATATTCAGCTGTTTCTTATTGTAACCTGCTGTTGTGTGTGTAATGGATTTGCGTGGCATTTGTTGGTTACACGTGTTCACTTGCTGTTCAGCAAAAGCCTTGAAACCCTAGAGAGGGAGTTGCGGGGGAGAGACTCAGCAAGTCTTGCGCTCAAGGCTTTTGCAGCTGCGCCGGAGGCCTGGAGGAATCAGCTCATTTCGGCTGTACTCCCGAACATGAGCTTTGCGGACGAATACGAGGTTGGCAGAGGGGGACCCCTACAGCTCCGGGCAAAACTGTTGGCGGAAGGAAAAGCAATTCCGCTGAGGTCGCTCAGAAAGTACTGGAAGCATGGCAACAGTGGACAGAACAGGCGGGAGAAATGGGCGAGTCGTTGGGGCGGAAGTATTGACTCGAAGCGGGCAGTTCAGATTCGGGAGTCACTTGTTACCCCGAGCCGGCCAAGAGATGTTCTGCTGCGGATCCACTGCCTTAATCTACAAGTAGGGGAGCGTCTGGAGTTTCTCAGCAGCAAACCAGTCTGTCCTCACTGTGGGAGTTTTGAGACACTGGAACACTGTCTTTTGGAGTGCCCTAAAACCCAAGGGGTGACTTCAGCGGTTGAAAAGGCGCTACGGATGATCAATCCAGGCAGGAAATGTGACTCGCTCGGTGATTGGCTGTTTGGCAAAGCCGAGTCCCAGTCAGCATTTCCGGAGGCTACACTGGTCGCGATTGCCCTCCATCAGCTATGGGCGGAAAGGTGCGAAAGGGCCTTTCGAGGCTGTAAATTCCGCACGCGAAGGGTATTGCGGAGAATTGAGTCGGCCCTCCGCATGCAAGTGAACGTTTACCTGCGTGCTTCTGCGACAAGGATGCAGCAGCGTGGGAAGGAACAGCAAGACAGGTGGCGGAAAATGACAGTGCAAGAACGTGATTTTCTGAACCGTATCAGAGTGGTGGATGGCAAAGGTTGGAAGTGGTCCAACAGCTTCGCAGCAGTCTGGGGCAAACCTCGCAGGCCCCGGATCCATGCTTGAGGATCAAATATTCTGAGGCGGGCTCCCCTGTCTCTCATGCACAGTTACGACTGTTTATGCGTTGTACACTTGTGTTCTGGTGTATAATTCATATAAGCAAAAAAAAAAAAAAAAAAAAAACTTGCTGTTCAGCAACGAGGTTGACAGGAGAACTGCGATTCGCATCTGGTTTGTCGCCAATTGCGCCACTGCTTGAGAGACATCAGCGCGCTACTGTAAATCTAAGTACTGTAGACAGTGCGCACGATGGTGAAATGGCATTCCTCCTGACCTCCGAAGGGGTGACTGGGTAATATATTGCACTGCCTGCGTCAGCAGTCCGAATGGCATGCAGTCCGAATGGGTTTTAGTTTTTCTGCCCGCGGGCAGAATGCTGACTCACTCGGTAGCGTCGTTTAGCGAAACGGTAGCGCTACCGAGCGCTACCGACGCTACCGAGTGAGATGTATTGGTCGAATTGAAGCGATTTGGGAAGTGGAGGAAGGTGTGGTGTGGTGCGGTGGAGGAGAAACAAACGGCAAAAGTTCTCAGAAAAAGTCGGCTGATGAAGTTTTGCAGAGACAAGTTGTGGTCAATGAAACTTGGCAGTATCTTGAAGGCACGTTTTGCAGACCACACTCAGCCGCTGAAACTGAAATTTGAAAAATAAACCAACATATCTAAATGTGCAAGAAAGGAACTAGTGCATTTCAAAGCGAGCTTGGTTGGGAAAAAGTGCGGGAATGGACAACGATATCATGAAGGGATTGGGGTGGGGGATTCGGGGGGTAGAGATTGAGAAGAAACGAGGAATGGATTGACTAAGGGAAAGTTGGGTACAAATGTGAACCCTAGAAAACTGTACCCCATATGGGCTACCCCACTATAGCCTACAGTAGCTATGTCATATAAATCTGACACACCCCCATAGGCAAAGTGGGGGAGAACAAGGGGTCACAAGACCAGTCAAGCAAAGCAAAGCAAGCTCAGGGTGGATCACAAAGTCACCACACATTCCGAGCACAAGTTCAAGGCCACAAGGCCAGTTCACATGCAGGATTACATATATATATAAGGCTAGACAGGCAAGAGCAGGTGTATATATATATGCATCAGTACAAACAAGGTCAAGGGGTGAGCAAGTGAGGCAAGGTAGGCACAAGACCCAGCTGAGTACAGAAGCGCTGATGATCACAAGGCGCAAGTGCCTTGGTGAAGATATCAGCAGTGTTGGCCTGAGAGGCCACGTACGCAAGCCGCAGCTGACCACGCTGCTGTAGCTCACGAGCAAGGAAGTAGCGGAGAGCAATGTGCTTCGTTCTGTGTTCCAGTCTCTGCTCTCGACACAAGGCCAGCATGGCCTTGTTGTCTACGTACAGCACTGGAGGAGAACGAGGCGGCTCTCCGAGGTCAGTCAGCAGGTAGGTGAGCCAGCGAAGCTCCTGTGCAGCCATGGCCCCGGCGTAGATCTCAGCCTCACAACTGGAGCCGAGAACAGAAGACGAGCGGGTAGCCCGCCACGAAACAGAGCCGGAACCAAGGCTGAAGGTGTAACCCTGTGACGACCGCTGCGTAGCCTGGTCGTCAGCCCAAGAAGCGTCTGCGTGCCCAGTGAGGACCACTGGACTCTGCCCTCCAAGCACAAGCCCCATGCCCGACGTACTGCACAAGTAACGCAACACCCTCTTCGCTGCAGCCATGTGCTCCGGTCTGTGTCTCCCAGGAGCAACATAGCGTGCGAGAATGCTAAGGGGGTATGCGAGGTCAGGTCGTGTGCAGGTCATCAGGTACATGAGGCAGCCAACAAGCTCTGGGTACGGGCCACTCGACTCTACGGACTCATCCGAAGGCAGAGCTGAGAGCGAGTGGCGAGTAGGCAGAGGAGTGGCCTGAGGCGAGGAGTACGTGAAGCCGAAGCGCTGAAGGACCTGCTGCACCATGTGTGACTGAGTCAGGGTAATGGTGCGGCGTGCTCTGTCCCGGGTGATCTGCAAGCCAAGGTAGCTGCGCAGTTCACCCAGGTCTGTGCACGTGTGTCTCTTCTGCAGCTCGGACTTCACGTGGGCGAGTCCAGCAGTGTCAGCTGTGGCAAAGACCAAGTCGTCGACGTACACGAGGATGTAGAACGGCGGCAAAGAAGTGTCGGTGCGCAGAAACAGCGACGGGTCGGCAGTAGAGGGAGCAAACCCAAGAGCTGCAAGTGTAGTCCTCAGTGTGTCGTGCCACTCACGCGGTGCCTGGCGGAGACCGTAGACTGGCCGCCGGAGGCTCCACTGGGTGCCAGGAGGAAAAGACCCAGTGAAGCCAGGTGGGCGACGCAGCCAGATCTCCTCGTGCAGGCTGCCCTGCAAGAAAGCAGTGCTGAAGTCAAGAGAGTGCAGCTCGTAGTCGCGGTGAGCAGCTATGTGCAGCAGTACCCGAAGAGTGGTCATCTTCGGGGTGGGAGAGAAGGTCTGAAAGTAGTCAACTCCCTGCCGCTGACTGAAGCCACGAGCCACGTAACGCGCCTTGAAGACAGGCGGAGAACCCGGCGGTCGCTTCACCCTGAAAATCCACATGCCACTGACGATGTTCGCCCCAGGCGGGGGAACCTCGTCAACGTAGGTGCCTGTGGACTTCCAGGAAGCCATCTCTGTGTCCATAGCTGCCTGCCACTGAGAGGAGTAGGGACCCTCTATCGCCTCCGCGTAAGAGCGCGGAGTCGGGATGTCAAGTGCATCCGGGTCTCCCTCAGGGGTAAGCAGTACGGACACGAGATGAGGTGAAGCAGCAGCCAAACACTGGAACTCCTCCTGCCTGTCCTCAAGGACATCCGTGCCAAGGGCACACTCACCCCCGACGGACGGAGGACAGACAGACTCAGACTCAACGACAAGACTAGCAGCGTAGTCTAGACGACAGCGAGCAGCAAAGTCGACGAGCTCAGCAACTAGGGCAGACGCAGCAGTGGACTCAAAGGAAGGGTCAGTGACGACAGTAGCAAGGAGACGCGTGACAGTAGGACTGGCAGCACGAAGAGAGTCCGACTCCGGGTCGGGAAGAGCAGGAAGAGAGGACTCAGGAGGAGAAGGCAAAGGGGCACGCAGAGGAGCAGTGGACGGACGCAGAGACATCCGGTGCGTGCCAGGGACAGGAGGAGGACGCTGACGCGAACCACGGCCACTAGTGCGAGCAAGACGGACAGGCGACGCAGGGCGAGACGCAGGCTCACGACGCTCAGCCAGACCTCCAGTAGGACCAGTGTAGGGAGAAGGAGCGGGCAGTGTGGAGGCCGGCTGTAACTGTAACTGGGACGGGACAGGCTGTGGACACTCTAAGGGAGGAGGAGGACCAGTAGAAAGCGGGAGACCAAGAACCTGCTGAAGGAGCGGAACGAAGTACGGCCGAGGCCGTGCGGCGACTCCAGACACAGCAGGGACAGCACCAGTACCCCCAGCGGCAGCACCAGCGCCAGCAGCACCTCCAGCTCCAGTACCTCCAGCAGCACCAGTAGCACCCCCAGCAGGACCGCCTCCAGGACCGACAGCAGTAGCCTCAGCGCCAACACCCTCAGCAGCTCCAGCTCCAGTCGTACCCGCAGGCCCAGCAGCTCCAGTACTCCCAGTACGAGCACCTCCGGGACCCGCGGCACCAGCACCCTCAACAGTCGAAGAACCTCCAGCTCCAGCAGCACGCCTCCAGCGCCGGGCAAACCACTCTCGCAGCTCCTG